CTTTTCATACATCCAAACCATTTCTGTGATGTCAAGCCGTAGACAAAGAATAAAAATGTGATTTTTAATCATTTTTGATTGCAATCCCAAGTATTTATTAATTTCTATGATAATGAGAAAACGAGAAATTTTTAATAATTATTATCAAAATAAAAGACAATTTATCCCACAATATACTAGTCTTGTCTATTTATGAGTGATATTGTCTATGAAAATATAATATATTGTTGTCTACAAAATATCACATCTCATGAAAGTAAATCTCAATCAAAATTATGCCTGTAACTTAAGTTATTATCAATACTATTACATAATAGGTTTAATATTATATATAATTCTAGGAAAATTTTTTAAGCAAGTATTTTCTGGTTACAAAATAACACTCAATTATTAGTGTAGTAAAAACACTAAACCATATTCTATAACTATTACTGATACACATCTATACCTATTAAGTGCTGTTTTTTCTTCCGTTTAATACAAAAGTGATAATTGGATTTCATCTGAAAATCTCGTTAAATGATATGTTTTTATATTAAAAAACTACAAAATATTGTATTTTTATTTAATGCCCTAAAATTACTATCGAGTTATTAAATAAAATGATTTTAGAGATAATGATTTCTTGAAAGATTATAAAAATCTAGGATTTTTGTAAACATTTAGTGCTTTATTATGAGTTTATGTTTCGTGTTTAATATTAAAATGTAATTATAAAAATAAAACATGTTTAAATTAAAGCTGTTATAACATTTATAAATTTAGGTAGGTAATTTAAAATAATACCAAAATTTATTATTAATAAGCAGTTGTATAATCTATTATTTGATAATTATTAACAAATTATAACACGTTTAAAATATTTTGATAAAATTTAAAGATTTAGATATTTTTGTTCCCTATAAACGCTATAATCATATAATATTATCACATAAAACAAAGAAAACTTATACAATGATTAATTTGTGGGTTTAATATTGTGTGAAATATTATAGCCCCGACACACCGGGGATACTAACGATTAATATTAAATATAGCTTAGGCTAAATGTGCAATTGAACGGCTCACCAATTATATTAATGGCCAAATAAACTTGGTTTTCTTACTTCGTTCATTCACTCATATGAGCTATCGTTTGCAAATCAGACTTTATTTTATTAAACAAAATAAATAACTCTTTTAATGATTTTTAAAAATAAATTTAAAATAAAATATTAAGTTTTAAGTTTTATATGCTAAATGTTATCAATTAATATCAACGATATAAACATGTCTCATGCTGCATGAGTCATGCATAACATTCTGGATCCATTATGGATTGATCCTGGTAATAAATATAATTTGGTAGTTTATGACCATATTGTATGCATTTTGGACACATTAATAGCACATTATTCCAGAAGAGATTATTAGTTATAACAGGCATTGGTTTGACAGTAAATGCAATAAACACTGTATTCTAAGAGATAATAACAAAATAAGTTATTAATTGAAAGCAATTTATTGTCATTATATATATATATTGTCTGATTTATTATTATTCTGTAGTGTTATTCATATTAAGCGTTTTGTTGCTCTTATTCTCTGGTCTCTGTGTTATGGCATCCGTTGTCTTATTGGTGGGACTTTGTGTGGTATTGACTACAATTTATTTACTATAATTCATTATATATTATGTAAATATTGAACATTTAATATATAATAATAATTGCATTTTAATGTCACTGAAAGGATAACAGAAAAATGTTGATTCCCTGGATGTTAGCCGTTTCGATCACAACTACTCTCGATTTACTCGTCTGTTGTTTCTTTATTAATGATAAGGAGACGGTATTTATACACTTTATTAATATTGTATCGCATTTTATTGCATATTTCCTAATGTTTGCACTAATCATACAAATTATATCGTAAAGAACTAATAGAATATAACGTTATTATAGTATTTATTATAACATCCAATATTATTAATGTCAATATAGTGTCTAGACTTTACATCAAATACCACTTTCAGAGTAATCAATAAATATTATGTTAATAACTATATTTAAGTTATATTTCCTATTATTTAATACAACATTTAGTTATTTAATAAAATCTTTTATCACTTATATAATAGGCTTTCGACGCTATTATTTGTATTCTTATGGGAAGTGATATATCGGTCTGTATTTTAAATGTATGTATCATTAAATCGATTCAATAAATCATTGTTTTATTTATAATTTTAATTCATTTAAAAATTAGTTTATCAAAAAGCATCACATTTTTTCACACATACATGAAAAATGATCACTTATCTGATTAATATTATTTTTGCCTCAAATCATATCTATATTTCTAAATTGCATTGTATTTCAGACAATAATTGTCTGTTATTTTTGTTGTTGAATACGTTTGTGTTGTGTTGAAGGCAGCAATCAATTGATTATATGTTTGTTTTATTTGTTTTTCGCATTAAATCGGAAGATATATTGCGTTTTGTGTGTATTATCTCAATATCAAGAATATCTGGAGGGAAGGGGTGGTCCAGAAGGAGATCGAGTGAGTTCTCTAATTAATTGCATGTCCAGTGAGGAAGTGTTTGTGATATTATTTAATCAAAAATAAATAATAATATTAATACTTCTTCACATATAAGAGATGCCGCAATAACAACGACTTTGTATTACTTTCGCCTAATTTCTTATACAAACCAAAAGACAGTCGACAACACAATACTGTGGAAGAGGTCTCCGAAAGCACTCGAACCACATCTCATATCAACTCCAATGTCGGCCTCAATAGCGGTGTCGTCACCGATAAGACCAAAGGAGGCGATAATATCCTAAATTACAAACTCATATGTTTTAAGACCGGAGACAACAACTGTACTGACGTTAAGAATGATATTTCTTCACAGAATCGGTGTTTAACGCAAACAAATTTACACTCAAATAATAGCGACAATAATACGGATCCGAGAGATAAAGTTTATGGCCAACAGATTTATTCAACGATTTAACGTTCAAAATAATGTCGGCTTTATATCACATTTTTATAAACCATTAAACTATATAACCATTAAATGGTTACAAAAAA